GAGTCAAAATAAAAACTGTGCCTCTTCACTGGTACTTATTTTAGCTCTACCCCAAAATACATTAACCAATGAAACAATCCAACTGCTGATGAACAGCTGTGAGCTTCACAAACTGTCTCTGGACCTACTAAACTGGACGTAAAATATTGTGTACACTGCTTCTAAGCAAAAATTTAGGAGTGCAATTTTAATTTAACAACATGGCTTTCCTGTAAACACACTAAAACACACTCTAGCCACCGAATAACCTCCAATAAAATCAATAAGCATTAAGAATTGAAATATCTTCCAGGACTGGGGACTACAGGGTACCAACACTCTCAATTTGGCAAGGCCAGAGTGCTTAGCTGAATAAGGAGTTCAAGATATACATAAAGTTTAGCTATAAAATATTTTATCAAGCAAGGCCCATAATGATGAATTAAGTGAAAATCAAGAATGTTTCTAGTTTTTCTAAAGTACTTTTAGCTTAAAATTAATTAAAGTTTTTACACAACATATTTAATGGCAGAGAATTTTTAATTTTATTTCTTCCCTTGCAATCTGTTCAGTCATTCAATAGACTATGATTTTAATATTTGGTTCATGTCTTGTAAATTGATCTATGAAAAATCAAAAGGGTTAAAGAAATCAGTTGTAGCCTAAACCAAAATCAAATATTAGCTCCTGAAGAGCATTAGCTGGGATTTTCTACAATACAAATTATAATCTGCAGTATTGAATTCCTTGCAATAAATATATTGATAAAATACTTTCACTTTTAAAGTTTCCCTGAACAGTTTTCACGAAATCTAGTGCCTAGTCCACAAAGTCCTTCATCGTTATTTAAAATGAATGTGGATTTTGACACATGTTCACAGATGGTTGCCTAGGAAATTTTAGCATGCTTTGGACATCACTGAAAAAAGTTATTCTTAGAAGCATTTGCAATTTGAGGTGGCTGTTACTTGAGAAGTACGCATGCAAAAAGGTGAAAAGACTAGCTTCTGTCACCATGGATGTGTCAGTGTCTCCATTACCCAGGTCAAATTTAACTTTAGCTTGCATAAAGAGGAAGGGTGATTCACCTTGGGTCAAAGATTCAGTGCTCTGTAAAAGGGCAAAATTTTCAGCGACCTTATCTATTGCTGGTGGTTGTCACTGTGGGGGTCAATTTAACTTTACAGCATCCAAAGCATCTTTTATTCCTTTTTGCTGCCACAGCACAACTCCACACAATTCCTTCACTGAGTGCTCTTAGATCCCCAGTGGGCACTTAAGACTCCCAGGGAAATTGTGTAATAGAATATAATCTGACTGGCTGCAACCTACTGCATTTCTGGCACTCCAGAATAAAAACAAATCAAAATAAATCCCCAGCATTCAAAAACTTCCTTCACTCTTCTACTCTGCAAAGCATGATCATAGGAGAATTAATGTTGTGCTTGTTGGTTTTTTTTGGTTTGGTTTTTTTTAAGAGGAACAAAAAGGAAAAAGATAAATGTGAAAAATAGGAATATCTATGGAATGCTAACAAAAATCAGAAAAAAAAGAGTTGGCCACAGGCATTCAAGCATTCAGTACAAAATTGAATTCATTGCATGCAGAGTAAAGACTGATTTAAATTCACTCATAAAAGCAGCATTAAGGAGAAATCTAGGTGTTCAGACAAGAAGTTCTCTTGTAAGATAAAATGCTGTACAAGGTTATACCATTCAAAGTCTCAGTTTTTAATACATGTTTTTTTTTAGCTCACCTAAATCTGGCAAACAGAATTAACTATGTAAGCCATCTACTGAACATCTCCTCAAAGTCAAACAGAATAAGTAGTTATAGCAGTTCTTGATCATATGCTCTTTTGAAAAGTTATTTCTTATTTATTATTTTTATTGCATACAGGTGGTTGCTGGTATACAACAGCAAATTGAATATGTTTTATAAAAGCAGGTATAGATCTCAATTTTTTTTTCAGTAATTAATAACATTTTCATCCACCTTGTTTGCAACTTAAAAAGTCAGATTTCATGGGGAAGCTGAAGGAGAGATGATGAACCCTTTAGCTCTAAAAAAAACCCTACATGAGAGTCCTTGATGTTTTGTCTTTGAAATTATTTAGGGGAGGGAGCTTAACAGTAATAAATTATTCAGTAAAATGTGCACAATTAAATGCCATTTAGAATATTTTAAACATGGATTTTCAAGCTTTCTTTTAAGAAGGTGTAGAAAAACAGGGCTAGCAAGCTAAGTCACTTTAATGCTTTAAAATTACTACCTTCAAAGGGAGACAGTAGCTCTAAATAACACAATATGATGTTTTATTTGATTTGATTTCAAACCTCAAGGTCTGTATGTTCTCATGCTGCACCCAGAAATTTGCAAACATTACTTTATTTCCCACATTCAGTGAGGCTGCTCAAGCATTTAACTACATATTTATATGGTTTTTGAGGAAAACACATAAATCATCCATCCACTGCTAGGTGACAGTAAAATTAAAGGAAATACTCACTGGTTTAGTATCTATGTATGTCTATCTATCTATCTATCTATCTATCTATCTATCTATCTATCTATCTATCTTTGTGTGTGTGTGTGTGTGTGTGTACATATATAAATTTGTTTATTTTTTTTCCTCCGCCCCCAGTTCAGACACTTAAACCAATTCAAGGACCTAGGTGGGTATGGAAAGTTTGTTACAGAGACAACTGGTGTTTGAATCAGCAGGATACACATCACTGTACTGCAATCTAGATGAGCTTTCAAGATTAAGACAAGTCTCTCTCACAAACAAGAGTAACTCATGTACTGATTGTGGCGTTTTAAATTACACAGTCTTGTCTTTAAGTATCTAATTACAGCATATGTTTTGAGATAAAAGTATAAATAATGGGCTATTTCCATCTAAATGTCCAGCTCTTCTATTTGAGGCTGAGAACCATCTCTCCTTACGGCAATTATTCTGGTTATACCCTCTTGTTAAAGAGATAGATGACCAAGACCACTTAAACTGTTCTTAATCTTTTGGGTGGAATTACAAGCAAAATAGTGAATTTTCAATACAGATTATAGAATGTGTATTTCAATACTGAATATTGAGAGAGTTAGAAAATTATAATGCGTCTTTTCAACTTCAAATCATTTCAGCTCTGCATGAATCATTGTGAAATATAAGAATCACACAATTTTTTCTTATATATATATGTGAATACTTGACGAATACTGGAAATATTATGATTTGGTGTGTACACTGTGAATACACAGGCTTGTAAATACAAATTGGTCAATTCCATCCTTTAAAAGAAAAATTCATGGTTTTTGCCTTATTTATTTTCTAAAATGTTTTAAATAAGGAAAAAAAATATAAAATCAATCCTTGTCATGGATTTTATGGTGTAATTAATATTACACAGAAGACTTTTTTTCACATGCAACATATATATAAAAAAATAGCAGCTTAATAAATTCAAGAGGCACCTTAATCAGAAGGGAAGTAAGGAATATGAATGCCACAGCTAAGGAAACAAAAGCTGCTTGGTGGTAAATATATCTCATCTCAGTAAAAAAAATTCAGGAAAACTTCAGAAAGACAAACAAAAACAACCCAAGGACTTTAAAAATGTGCAAAGGAGTTCTGTCTTTTCAGAATATGAAAAGAGTAGCCTCTGAATCCTTTATTGGAATTCATAAACTGCATTCTTCCCCTCCAGATGCACTACATAGAAGGCAGTATAACCCCATAGCCCACTAAACACAGTATTGCAAAGACTAGGCCATATGGTTTGTACTGATGTTGCAAGGACTCAGAAATTGACTTTGTCAGGATTTCTTTGTACTTTTCTTGACGTGCCTGGAACTCTGTTTTAGATTGTTTAGCTACAAAAGTCTAACTAGGTGTCTGCTTTATTTTTGTACAACTTTGTGTTATATAACTGTAATCCTGTACGTACTCCTGCAACAAATAGAACAAAATATTCATGGCTGTGACATAATAGTGTAAAGCAGAGAAATACAGGCTTGGTATGGCAGTGGAGGCTTTAAAAGCATCCCCCAGGCATGGGATGGTAAGAGAAGTGACCCAGGGTTGGCTCTAGAGAGCCTAGACCTGTAAACTTAACTACGGACAATTAAAGGAATGAAGAGTAACTAGGAAAAAGCAAGAAGTACCCAGTATATGCAATGTGCTTTCTATATAGTAAATTCAGCTTTAACAAGGACCTACAGACCTGCAAAGAAAGAGCAAAGTTTGCATCATATGTTAGAAGAACATAGAAATGACCCAAAAGAGCTCCTACAGTGAGGGAGAGGCAGTTGCCATTAACATCATATTGCTCTTTTCAATACACTCAGGATCCTGAAAACTTGCATGTCCAACTGAAGATATCAACTGCAAGAAGCCAAGGTTCAGCAGAAGTATGAATATAAATGCAGGGAAAGGGGTAGATAAAAGAAGTCCATGTTTAATAACTTTGCTTTCTTACTATTATACTATTTACTTGATTACTATTACTATTAATATTCCTATTACTGATTCTTCCACAATATAAGAGAGTTTGTTAATTTTTTTTTCTTTATTTTCCTGTCACAAATTTGAAGCAATAAATATTCTTTAAATAGCTATTTAAGATTTAAATTACTCAAAGAAAAAATACTTGGTTTACATATATAAGATTTGGGGGATTTTTGCCTTTAGGAAGATAGAACTTAAGTTTAGATCCCTGAAGAATGGTACTGAAAGATTTTTTTAGTGTTTCAACACAAGGAAATAACCTTCTAGTTCAGTTAAACTCATGCAACCTGATGTTCATTTGGAACAGTTTCTCCTACAATCTTCTACATTGTTTTTTCTTCTACATACCCTTCTTTCCAATTTGTATGTACCAACCTTTGCATTTAAAAAAAATCCACAGGGCTATATATATTTGTTCAGGCATTTGAAGAAAAAAGACTTCTATGACTTTCTGTCTACGTCTAAGATATTTAATCCTAACAGAATGCTATTGGAATAACATTTTTTATTTCAGTTTCAAGTAACATGGAATGGAAGAAACACTTGATATAATGCATTTATTTCTATAACAACCTACTCTGACAAAACTTCATTATACTTCAGGCTATCAACTGGAGCATCTGTTCACATATCCCTTAAACTGTAAAGTGGGCAATGTATCATCACAAAGTGCATGTTAAAACACCAGAGTGATATTAGGATCATCCCTTCTCAAGTGAAAATGAATACTTTTAGCCAAACTTTTGCATATGTCCTTTCCAAAAAACAAAACAAAAAAAAGAGGAAGTGTATACCCCACACATTACCAGAATATATTGGCTGCTACCTGCAAAAAAGTAGCATGTAAGTGAAAACATTAGAAGAGACTACACAGAATATGGTTTCCCCATGGAAATATTTCTGCAGGACAAGCAGCCTATAGGCAAAGTAGGTTGAAGCTATTCCAGCACCAGGTAAAAACTTTCAAGCTGAAGGCATCCGTAAAGCCACTCATTTTCACTTTTTTGCACACATTACAGCTACTTCAAGCAGATCTCAAAATCTGAAAGACTATGGGCTTTGATTGAAACAAGTGCTATTTCCTTACTAACTGTGCTAATTCAGCAAAATGGTAAAGCTGAGCTGAATCATCATGAAAAACTGTGAGAAGCTTTAAAATACTTGCTGCAAAATGAAAATGAAAACACATTTTATATTTATTCGTAAAGCCAAGAGACTAAAAATTTGAATCTTCCTTATGTCTGCTGAACTTTACAACCCACTACAGAGCAAGAATAATAATATTAAAAATCTAAAAATGACCCTCAAACCTAGTAGGAGGCACAGTCACAACCATTTGGAATAGAATTGGCTATCCTTTATGTCACTTTATTATAATGTACAGAAAATACACATTTCCTGATAGAGCCATCAGTTATGTTTATGTTCCAGTACAAGACACATCCACAGCATGCTTCATTAAAAAGTAGCTTGCAAGAGAAACAGGCACACAGTTTGCATCAGAATTCTAGCTGCAGAGGACCCTAAAAATATCTACAATTGCACTTCCAGCTTCATGTTCAGTTTTCAATCTCCTATAAACCAAAACACCGGAATAATAACATGAAGTTGGTAACTATTCTGAAATCCATTGACCACCTCTTCTCACAAGAGAGCAAATGTGGTTGAAGCTATAGAATCACATTCAAATGTTGTCCCAAAACAGACTACTACATGCAACCAGCAAGCTCCAGAGAAGTTCTGCAGCTTTCAAAGCATGCAAAAAACTGATAAACACTCTCAGCCTTCCAAATGTCAGAGAGCATCCAAGCATAACTCCAGAGACAAGATATCCTTGTTGAAGTTACTGCTCCAGAAAACAATTCAGAGGAATTGAACTGTCTTCTACCTGACACTGATCCACAGAATTCCTTCTTCACCAACAGCACAAAGAGATAAGCCTTCCTTGACTTTTCTTCCTGGAAACTATCTGCATAGGCTCTCCTTCAGTAGGGAAATATGCCTAGAAGATTCAAGATAAACATCTCCTATTTCTGTAAATTGTTAGTTCAAAAGTTGTGACTGACCAGAAGGCACTATGGTTACATGCCAGCATTTCAAGGGTTGTGCTTGCATACTGAGCTGCTGGGCAGGCTGGAAACATGAGGCTGCATACATCTGGTCACAATTGATCCCAAACTCCTTTGTCTGCTATTGCCTTTCTGCTATATGTCTCACTGAATACCCAAAATCAGGAATCAAAACAGTTCAACAGAGAAGGAAGAGAGAAATAGTATCCAAAATTTTTTAAAGGTAAGAAAAAAAAACGAAAGTAAGAGCAGTTAAGAGGTCAGTTAACAATTTTTTCTGATCAAAATTATGGTAAACTTATTTTGGTTCCAGGAAATTGAATTAAAATGTGATGAGATTTGATGTAGATGAGTTGTCGTCTACAGGAGGACTCATTACTTCAGTAAACCTAAGGACAAGAAGCTTAAGGACATCTATGGATTATATTTCCTGGTAAGTTTATTATATGCATTAAGAAAAAAAAATAAACTAAAAAAGAAAATGTCTCAGAAAAGTGTAATTCTCCAAAACACATAAAGAACCTTATTCTTTCTAACAAGTGACTTATTTTCTATGTCTGAAATGTCATCAGTTCATAATTTATTTTAGGGATTAGAAATTTCTAAAAGTTCAAATGAGTCCCAGTTGTCATGTTATGCCAATGTAATGACATTGTTATGTGTAATATATCATCAAACTGACAATTTTGTAGTACAAAGGGGAATGAAAGATAATGGATTAGAATGAAGGACCTTGAAAAGGTAGGTTTCAGAGTTTAATGATTTCAGTTGAGGAAGAAATCCTTTCTCAGGGTTGTTCATCTTGTTATTGTATTTTCTCCTTCATTTAGGCTTCAAACGCTGGTAACAATCTAATCACTATCAAATGTTTCCAACAACTGTATTTTTAATAGTGGCCTTGCTTCAAAGCATTCTATATTGCTGCCAATACCCTGGCAAAGTCTCTGAAAATTACAGACATTAAAAATGGTCATTCTCTATATATAATGTTTTGGCCATTGTCCATTTTTTTAATACTAAATGAACAAAATCCAATAAATGATTTTTCCTCAGGCTCAAGACATTCTTTCTCCTTAGAATTTATGTGAAACAAGTATGCATGATGAAGAAAGTAAAATACATTTTACTGATTGTGGCATGTACCCAAAATCATAACAGAATGCTGGAAATGTATAAATTTTCTAAATATCTTGGGATAATGTCTCTCCTTTTATTTGATAACAGGCATACACAGGCATATATCTTTTCTAAAATTAGAACTGCTACAAAAAGGAAGGAAGGACATAGACTGCAAAATAGCCCACAGTCTTGTACCAACTTCCAACTGCAATTAGAACTGGAGCTTGTACCAGACTATCCCACATATTAAGTGCATATTCTAGCAATTCTGAGTTAGTTGCTCAATTTTTCAATCTGAAAATGGTCAGTCTGAAAAATTCCTAAAGGAGAAGTTGATTCCTGTTTTTAAATAAATCTTCATAATTTTGTATATCGAGAAAAGTTTGGGGCAAACTGGGCCATCTCTGAAAGCACTGAACTATCCATAGAATAGTGTTGCTGGTAGAGTTTCACATAATTTGAGAAAACTCTGCTCACTCAGTGTAGCTAAGGACACGAGACTGAGAATACATCCAAAGTTCTTCCACTTATCATAATTCCATGTGATTTGAAGCCATTTTTTTTCAGGGATCAGTATTGGGACCAATGCTGTTTAATATCTTTTTCAGCTACACAGAGCATGGGATTGAGTGCAAATTTGCTGATGACACCAAGGCTGTGGTCTGGTTGAGATGCTGGAGGGAAGGGATGCAATCCAAGTGGACCTTGACAGGCAGAAGTTGGCCCATGTGAACTTCATGAAGCTGAACAAGGCAAAGTGCAAGGTGCTGCATCTGGGTCAGACAAATTCCAAGTTCAAATACGGTCTGGGTAGAGAATGGATTGAGAAAAGCCCAGAGAAGATGGACTTGTGGGTGTTGGTTGATGAGAGGCTCAAAATGAGCTGGCAGTGTGTTTTCAGCCCAGAAAGCCAATCATATCCTTGGCTGCATCAAAAGTAGCATGGCTAGCAGGGTGAGGGAGGTGTTCTTCTCCCTCTCCTCTTCTCTCCTGAGACCCCTCCTGGGGGGCTGCATACAGCTCTGGGTTCCCCAGCGTAAGAAGGATTTGAACCTGCTGAAGCAAGATCAGAAGAGGGCCACGAGAGATGATCAGAGGGCTGGAACTCTTCATCTGTGAGGACAGGTTGAGGCAATTGGGGTTGTTCAGCCTGGAGAAGAGCAGGTTCCAAGGAGACTTTATAGCACCCTTCAACTATATTAAGGGGAGCTACAAGAATGCAGGAGGGACTTGTCACAAGGACATATAGCAACAAGACAAGGGACAATGTTTTTAAACTAGAAGAAGATAGGTTTAGACAGATATTAGGAGGAAATATTACGAAGAAATACTTTACTGTGAGGGTACTGGAATAGATTTCCCTGAAAAGCTGTGAATGTCCCATTTCTGAAAGTGTTCAAGGCCAGGCTGGATGGGGATTGAGACACCTGGTCTAATGGAAACTCTCCCTGCCCATGGCAGAGGTATTGGAAGGAGATGATTTTTAAGGTCCCTTCCAAGCCAAAGAGTTATATGATTCTATGATCAAAGACATGGCATGTCCAAATTCTAATGGCTGCAAAAAAGGCCCGGAAAACTAAATACATCTCTGAAATTCCACTTGTATTGTGTGTAGGTGGCAAGATTTTGAGCAACATGAGGGCTACAGGGATGGCTGCTTTGGCAGGAGATCAGAATGAGTCTTGTCCCAGGCTCAGCTGGTTTCAGCCTTCTCCACAATGGACCCACAACTAGCAGAGTATATTTAAAGAGATGAGAGAAAAGAGGAAGTGTGAGAAACGATCCTGCAAGCGAGAAGGTCTGGCAAGGAGAGTGAGAATGTGCTCCAGGTGATGTACCAGACAGTCCTTTGTAACTCTTTCTGCAACAAATTATTTCCCTACAGCCCATGTACTTGACTGCATTGGAATAAATGTCCATCTTGCAGCCCTCGAAAGATTTCTTTTTAAGATCAAGATATAAAAGAATGTATATTTTGTGAATATATTTTCAGATTCCCAAACCTACTATTTATTAGTCATAATGCCTCACAATGGTCAAAGTTGCTTTCTAATGCAAGATTCATGATGGTTTTGAGTTAAATTATTTTACTTCCTGGAGTTCTGAATGCCACAGATATATAGGACAAGTTTAGGAAGATTTATTTGCTATCAGATATCATAGTCTAATGCAAAAATGTATATATTAGGAGATTAGAGGATTGGACTCAAATCAAAAGGAAGAGATAACCATACTATTATGTCTTTTATCAATAATTACCTTCAGATTTTTCACACCCTTTTTTTCTTGTTAAATAACAAATAATTTCTGTACATAGATGTACAAATGTGAACAGGTATAGATGCATAAGATAAATGCCTAAGTGCTTTCATGTATTAAAAGCATATACATGAGTCTAGCCCTTGAGACAGCATGCTGAGCATCTGGAATTCAGATTACAGCAAACACTTTTGATTATTTGCATGTACAAAGCTACATTTGGCAATACATTTTAACTTCTTATAGTTAAGTGAGGCTCAGGTAAGAGATTATTCTGAATGCTAAAATGCCATTGAAGAATGTAAGTTCTCTGACAATAAAGAGATTGACTCTTGATTTGCAGTGCCGTGTCGTTCACTCTTGTCACTTATTAGTGAATGGAGCATACCAGGGAGCTCAAGACTGTTCCTGAGTCAGACTGTTTCAGCCAACTCAGCCCACCTCTATCCATTCCTGTCATTAAACAACACTCTAATTCTATCTGGTCCAAACCAGCAGAACCCATTCAAACTCAGAAGATTGCTTTATTGGCATACAGGTTCGCGAGGGTGCACACGGCCCTAAGTCCGGCTAGCTGAAGGGGTAAAGCGGCCGACGCCCCTGCGCATCTGAGGCCAGCCCCCCTTGGCGTCCTGGCCTCGGGCTGGGCTGGATTGCGGACTTGGATTCGCGCAGGACGAGACGAGAGAGGAGGCGACCACTTGCTGGGGGTAAAACGTCGGTTTATTGAAGAGCCCACATGCAGCACAGGGCAAACCAACAGGTGGAAAAACCCACAGCAAAATGGCCACGAACACGGGGGGGGGAGAGAGATTTACAGGGAAGGGGTGGAGCAGGGAGGGGAAGCCCAGCTAACCAATAGGGGAACATGTGGGGAGGTACATAAGAAAACTGACACAAGAACTTATCCAATAGACATAGAACAAAGAAGGGGCCCCGGGACGCCAGCCAACCACAACCCCCAGGGAGAAGAATGTTCTAGAAAGCAGGGAGGAGTGGGGGGTGACTGACTGGGCTCAGGGAGGAGGAAAACTTTACTTATATGGTGGGATAAGGGAGGAGCAGTTATGTAACTTGGGAGATTGACAATTAACAGGGGCAGGGGTAACCATAGTAACATAACTGCCAAAGGCTCTGTGGCGGGAAAACTGGAGGGGGAAGAACCATTTTACAAAGAACAGGGGGGAACAGTACATAAAATGGGGGAACAAAACAAGAAATTTAAAAACACACTACAACATCCAGGTATCTTCTCTCCTTTTTAGTCTGCTGAATACTTCCATCCAAGAAACTTAACCAATAGCTACCCATTTGATCTTATAAAAAACTGATGCATTTCTTGAAGAAAAAGAATTTTAGAATCTTTGCCAAACTTCTAATGCCATTTCACCACTATAATGGAAGTATTGGAAGGCAACAAAACTGTATAGAAAATGTTAACTCTTTAGCAATTGAGTACCACTTATCAATTTAAGTCCATGACACCACGAAAAAGCAAAAGAAAGACAAAAACAACAATAAAACCCCACCACACTTGCTAAGAACTCAATATATCTAGCAAGAATGTGCTTTAAAGGGTATGATTGCATATCATTTTATCACAAATGGAAAAAAAAAAAGGAACTGGATTTCCATTTTTCAAAGTTTTGGTTCTCAGTAGCACAACACTATTTCCACAGAAAGAAAAATATGGCCACCTGTTTTTATTGTCACATGAATAAATCATGCCAAAGATTGACATGTTCACAGAAGTGTGTGGTTTCTTCTATTCTGTTTTATTTTGGCAGCTGTGTGTACTTGTTTATTTCCTGTGGTGAAAATTTGGTCAGGACAGAAGGAATTTATTAGGGTAAGACAGAAAGGGAAAAAATAACTGAAGAGATAGAAAAAAAAGGCCCATGAAAACAAAGAAAGAAAGCAAATAGGGAAAAATGGAGGGATGATGATCTAAACACTCTGAAGGAGAAAAAGGTATGGAACTGAAGCAAGCAACAAATCAACATAAAATAACAAATGCCCAGATTAAAAGTTCTGAAAGTCACCCGGAAGTGATGGCACCCATTTCCATTATAGCCAGTATACTCTGCTGATGTGAGTTGAATTTCTATGTATTGTAGCAATTGTGGGGGTTTTTCCCTTTTCTGATTTAATGGTTTGGGAGTTCTTTTTCTCTTCTTTTCACCATGACCAAAAAGACAGAGTAACTCTTGCGGTGTTCTAGGTATTTCACACAGAGGAAGCAAATTGAGCTTTAAAACTCTGCAACAATATTGGTTCAGTTCCATGCTCAATAACAGTTCAATCACAGTCATAGCCCTGCTTTCCTCAAAACATCTTAGTGATTTCCCAACCCAGTATTAGCAGAGCCCGGTATTGCTTGTATGATGAAACCAGATGCAACAATATCTAGGGTACTGCAGCTGCTTGTGACAAACTGTTTTTTGGCTGCAGACTCTCCCTGTCTTGTTAGTGACATGAAGAAATCTTTTTTTGCATATATATTTGGTCATGCAAGTGAAAGGGTTCCATTCAGCCTGTTTTGTACATGGAATCTTGAAATACTCAGAGGCCCAGACCAGAGAGTACCTACAACATTCCTGCTATTATATATTCCATTATATCTGGTCCCGTTTAGCAATAGGCTACCCTGGAGTAAAACTAAATGGTTCTGTTCTAAATAAAGTCTGCATTAATGAAAAGATGTCCCTGAAGTCACAATGAATATTTGATAAATAAGCAATACACCAAAAAAACCAAGCAAACTACTTAGTTGTTTAATGAATGAAATAAAATCTATTTAATAAAATTGATAATAATTTCCCACTGCAGTATAATGGAAAGTAACTAGGAGATTTTCATTTAATATAATATGCTACAATAACTATACAGTTCTGATTAAAACCAAAGAGGGACCAAATTATGAATGTATCAATTATAATGTTCTCTTCATGAAATCCTATAGCATTTTTTTAGCTCCCTAAGGATGTCCCAGAATACATCAGAACTCCCTAGTTATCCAATGATGTGTAGAGATGATACATTCTGTGTATTTTTTTTTTAGCAAATTAGTACTTACTAAAAATGACATGAATGAAACAAAGAATTAGAATTTAGGAAAATAGTACTCATTAAATTGGATGCAAAAGGCAAGGATGCCAGGGAGGAAACAACCCTGGAATATATTTTCTGTCATTTCTTCAGCCATTCAACTGATCTTTTCTGGATCAATGAAAATGGATTACACCTTTTCACAGATGCATGCTAATTTCCTGTTCTCTCTCATGCTTGTAGTGTACTTTTGCACGAAGACAGCATGACTGATCAACTGCTTTCCATGCACGGTATTTGGTTACTGATATTTTCTCAGCTGAGAAGGAAAACAAAGACTGCCTTGGTTTAGCAGCTTTGCACCGACTATCCATTAGTGACTAACATCATTACCAGGGAAAGAAATGTAAATTCAGGGAATGGGAAGTACCACCAAACATATGAGGTCCCGAGAACTCTAATTCCTTCCCTTGGCTCCTAAGACAGGAAGGGTGCCAGAAGAGAACAAAGCAAGGTCAGTAATTAAATGAAGCATTCACGTAAGCACTTGAGAGGAAGCACAGTGTAAGGGACAGTTGCAGTCTCACCAATTAAAGATACCTTGAGGTCAATACTTACTAAACCATATAAAATGGGCTCAAAGACTAATGACTCAAATCAGCATACACAAACTTAGATTTTAAAATGGTTGTCTTTACTGCTGTGACAGCTGCTTTATAGACTATTGCATTGTTAAATGGATCAGTATTCCTTTGATGCTGTGGAAAATCTGAGATGCACTCGTAATCGGAGACTGACTAAGACATTAAATACAGAACTCATTAAGGTAACTGCTCTCTTTCTTTAAGGACTTTACTGTGAGCTGGTTAACTTCCAGTCCGATAAAGGAATA